CCCCAAAACCCCAAAACCCCAAAACCCCAAAACCCCAAAACCCCTTATTCGTAAATTATAATTGAATCGATTTCCTAGTTGAGAATACTAATGAAATATTAAGTTAATTATTTCTTTGGTCTAAGGTAGTCACTGTTGTAAGCTTCCTCTACGCTAAACCTATCAGTAGGGTAGTAAGCTAGACATTTCTTCAGATATTCCTTACACTCGTTCGAAACATTTGGCTTTACTGGAAACTTTAATAACTTTCCAGTTTTTAGTATCGCGCCGCTCTCTAGGATTCTCTGCTGACTCATATCGTGTCCAAAGGGTCTGATCCCATATAGCATTTCGTAGAAAATAACACCGAGACTCCACACATCTACTTTAGAACAGATGAGTGGAGGATTTGGACCAATTTGAAAACATTCTGGTGGCTGATACCAATATGTACCGACTCCTTGAGAGGTCAACTCGACTCTTTCAGTGTTCTCTTCCATAACTTTTCACAGTCCAAAATCGGAAATTTTAATCTCTCCGTTATTGAAAAGGATGTTCTGAGGCTTCAAGTCGTAATGAATGATCTTCGGATTGTGCTCGTTCAGGTATTTTAGCCCACTTAATATTTGATTTATAATAAGCCTAGCTTCCTTCTCACAAATCAGTCCATTTATTTTCAAGTATTCAGATAAATCTGGACCACTACAGAGCTCTAAAGCAGTACAAAATGAATTTTCATCAATCTCAATGGTGTCGTAGTGTCTTACGATTCGTGGATGGGACAACTTCTGATGTGTTTCGTTTTCTCGTAACGCATGCTTTATATAATTAGCCTGCATTGATCTGCTCCATCTTTCATCAAATCTATGTATCTTTCATGCTACTTCTTTACAGTTCTCCAAGTCATAAGCCTTGTACACTTCAGAGTAGCCACCTTTGCCTAAAAGTGAGAGGACAAGGTATTGATTGTCTAATATTTTGAATTTTTCTTCAGCCTTCTTTCCACAAAGAGTGCTATTGAGTTCTTCATTTTGTCTCCTCATCTCATTAGATAGCAATGTTTTCTCTTTCTTCATGTTCTCTAGAAGCTCTCTGATTCTAGCTTCTTCTTTTTGCTTCATGTTGATCTTAAATGTTAGAAATTCCTTCTGCTCATTCTCTTCTATCTTAAACAAACCTTGGGTGAGTTCCAGAGTGTTATCGACGTTGAAAAGGTTGTCTACCTCTGCCTTATGGTCTTCAAGGCCGCTAGTAGATGCCTTCTCAATGATGTTTCTTCATTTCTTACTTCTTTTAATCTTCTCGAGGCTTTCTTTCTCCTTGATAATTTCAGAGAGTTGCTCTTTGAGTTTGAGAACTTCGTCTCCGTCTTCCCAAACTTGTTTAAAATTCTCGCCAATTCTTTTATGTATCATCTGGCCGATGCTAACAGACTTCTTAGCTACTTTGGCTTTCATCTCTCTGTTATGTATCTCCTGAAGATCTCTGAGGTATTTAGCAAGGGATAGTTTGCAGGTCTTCCTCTTAGCTTCACTCTTCTCTAAATCTTGCTCTATAAGCTCTCTGTCTTTTTCAGTCCGCTGGATGAAGTAACGAAGTTTCTCAATTTCCTTCTGCTTGGCATCTTGGTCGTTCAGGATCTTCTGGATGTATGCTTCTTTGTCTTCTAGAAGTTTCTGGAGCCTAGTATTCTCCTGACGAATTCTGAGTATTTCCTCTTCTGAGTTTACCAAGCACTAAATTAAATATTAAACATGGCTACTAAATAAAATGGAAGGAAGATCAGAATTTGAATCAGAATTTAACTTACAGACTGACCAAAAAGTAGAGAGGTTGGCTTGCTCTTCCCATCCGCCATTATTTCATCTTTCATTTCCTTTCTTCCTCAAGTTTGGTTTATTTCTAGGTGATGCATCTTAGATTGGAGTATATCCTTCACTGAGCAAGGAGACTCCTCTAACTTGGACTTGACAGGGATTTCTTGAGAGGGGCTATTCAAGGTATCTTCAGCTGAAGAAGAGCTTTGTCTCTGTCTCTTGCTCCTCTGTCCTCTTTCCTTTACCTTTTTCCTACTCTCCTTCAACTTCCTCTTCCTTCCTCCATTTTTACTAGTAGATGATAATGAAGAGTTGGAAGATTTACACTCTTGACTTTTTAGTGACGAAGAATTTTCGTCAAGGAGCTCCTTCATGGAAGATGACTAGACAGAAAATGTTAAATGGGATTTAATTTTTGTTCTTACCTCTTTCCTAGCTGTTCCGCATTGATGTAAAATGTTCTCACCTAAGTCCAAGGCGTTAGGCTTCATCTTTGTTATGGAATTGGAAAGAACCTCTTTTTCAAGATTCTCCAGACCCTGGCTGCTGGAAAAATTATGGTCTTCTCGAAGGGAGGAGTAAACTTCGCTCAACTGGTCTCAAAGACGCTCTTTAGAGAGCCCTAAAAAACATTAGTCACAAAAGGACTACACAAGAAGAAGCCTTATGAAATAAAAATGGAGCTTACCGTGGAAGCGGGCTTCTAATCATAGAAGGCGGTTAAACGGCAGACTATAAGTAGCACTCATAGAAAGGATGTTCTTCAGGATCCTAATCCTTTGACTCTTCTGAATTACTTTTCTCCCATGCACATTGGTTTTAACCACTACAATGGAGGCACTATTGCATTGGTTGATGCTTATTTCGTTCATATTTTATAATTTTACAAAGAAAACCTAAGTTAATTTTATAATCTGAACCCGCATGTAAGCCAGATATCTAAAATCTCATCTGGATGCTTTTGCTTAACTAAATTAATCAAAATTTTAACTTTGAAAATTTCAGCAATAATATACAACCAAGGGGTTTTGGGGTTTTGGGGTTTTGGGGTTTTGGGGTTTTGGGGTTTTGGGGAG